TGTTAAATACCCTCGGTCCAAAACGACAAATGCCGATATGAATGTCAAGCCCAAGAAACCATCCAACATCTTACCGGAGGCTGCCAGGCATTTGCTGCAACTAAATATAAGAAACGGCATGACTCAGTAGGGAAGATTCTCCATCAAGAGATTGCTTTTAAACTGGGACTTCTTCAAACAAACCATATTATCAATACGACCCTGAGAGTATGCTTGAGAATGACAACTACAAGCTATACTGGGATCGCACTGTGCTCACAGACCAAACTGTAGCACATAATAGACCAGATCTCGTGCTAGTTAATAAACTAACGAGATAAATAACACTCATCGATGTGGCGATACCTAACAACAATAATCTGCGTGTTAAGTACAATGAAAAGATCGCCAAGTATAGAGATCTGGGAATACAAATAAGAAGACAATGGAGAATGGAATGTACCCAGACGATAGCTATTATTCTTTCTACGACTGAAGTCATCCCAAAGAACCTCATAGAAAACATAAAGAAGCTGGGTCTAAATAAAAATCTATATAAGACCATGCAGAAAGCTGTAGCACTTTCGACGTCCAGATGCGTGCGAAAAGTTTTGGGAGATACACTGACGTACCAAGTCACCTAGGACCCGATAACATGGAAAGAGTCCCACCAGACCGCAATCCTTTTGATACCGGAGGTATCTGGGATGAGTGACTTTTCCCCTTAGAGGGAGTGTTAGCCGTATGGCTAAATCTAGATAATAATATAAATAATCAAACTACTTGAGATACAATAGAAGTGTTTATACACACCTATAGATAAATTCTCTATAAGAGTGTAATAATTCTCTCTATAATAAAGAAATAAAGTCGTCAAAACACTTGACGATGCAACCAAAAGTCAGTGGTCTAATCTCTTAGACTACACAACGAAAAATTATCCTCTTTTTCTCAAAGTTGACTAACTATGTCCTAGAAGAGGATCATGCACACTTTAAGCACTTCCTTTTAACAAGAACCGACTTATTTTCGGCGAAAACATATAAACATAACGGTATTTTTTTAAAAGGGAAGCAAAAGGCAAATAACTGTACCATATTGAGGGAAAGATTCTCTTTAAAGTAAAGCTATTTGTAATAGGTTTAACAAATTTAATTACTCTCCTCCTAGCGCTATAAAAAAGGACCTACATGTTCTTTGTTTTAAAAAAATGACGATTGCTCTTAATTGCTCATCCATCAAGTAATCTGCATGTTTCGGTACTTCTTTTAGGAAATAAAAAAAAACTGTAAGATATCAAAGAAATAAGTCTATAAAGATACAAAATCTAAAGTACAGTTACGTTCTTATAAAGAACTATTATCGGGACCTCTCATTCGTTTCGGCGAGGTGCAAAGTTTATTCTATTCTATAATTTTAATACTATTTCTTTTTTGTCAAGGGACTTTTTTTATATTGAATAAATCTCTCGATATGAACTATTTTGGGTTTATTTCTAGCTGAAAACTAGATGCGGTAAAATAGATCGTTTATTTTGTGTAGGACGATGTACCAGCCCTTCCAGTTTGGGTTAAGCTTCGAACAAAGACCATTTTTACGTTTTGGATTATATAATCATACTGAATTACCTCTTTCAGAAGTTGTTGCGGTAGCATGTATGAAAAACTTGTCCTTGGCTTTGTTAATTTAAAGCTTTAAACTTTCACGAACAAATTTGTAAACTTTTCCAACTTGTCCAATTGTTTTATTAAATGTTTAATATATCTCAGGGATGAAAGTTCTTCTTCGCAGGGAGGCAACCGTCCAGAAATAAGATCTTAAGGAAGCTTTATTTCTCATCCCACCTCAATATTTCCATGGTTCTCGTTCTTTTAGCTATGTGGCCAAAGTAAATTAAGTATGCTCGATTTACTTTTTTTAATAGCCTGTCTGGTATATAAAGCTCTTCCCGAATTGACAGGTTGGTTCCATGTTCTGTCCAGGACACTCGTAGAATTCTTCTATAGACCCATATTTTGAACGCTTCAATCTTCTGCCTATCGATTTTTTTGAGTATCCATGTTTCAGCTGCGTATTTAGCAATAGAAAAAATAAGGGCATTGGCCAACCTGAGTTTAGTATTCCTTGTTATTGTTTGGTCTTTTCATATTTTAATCAGTTTAGCTCTTGTGGTTTAGGCCAGTGTTAGTCTTCGCTTGATTTCTGAGCAGCAATCGCCATTGTTGGTTATCAAGGAGCTCAAATATACAAATTTGTCTACCACTTCTAAATTCATATATACCATTAGTTTTGTTTTTCCGGTGTTGAACTGAAGTTCGAATTTCTCGCTTATTCGGCTTAACCGTTCAGTGATGGTTATCCTTTCGAATTCATTCTATATTCATGTTAATATAAGTGTATTATTTGCGTATCGCAGGTTACTGATTTTTCTGCCTCTTATAGTGGTTTCTCCGTTCTATTCGTCTAGTACTTCATTATATATTTAGAATATATGTTGTACAATAACGATGATAGTATGCAGCTCTGTCTAATTTCTTTCTTTGTTTTGAACGCATCTGAATATATTCCGTGTATTTTGAATTTATTTGAGTTTTTATAATACAGATTTCTTATTAGGTTATCTAATTGGTTCGGCACTCCTATATTTTCCACTAAACTCCAGATACGATCCTATTTTACGAAATTGAAAGCCTTTGTGTAATCTACGCATCTACGCATGTGTAGAGCAGCATCGGTATGTTGTGTTCTCTCGCTTGTTCTATTATTTGTTTGATGTTCAGTATCTGCTTCCGCGTTCCTTTTCCTCGTACGAATCCGCATTGTTATTCGGCTGTCTCTAGGAGTAGAAAGTACTTTAGCCATTCATTGATTATAAGCAGGACTTTGCTTGCATCAGAAATACGGGTAATAGTTCTGTAATTCCTGCATACGGTTAGTGATCCTTTTTTAATGGATAGTGATAAATGTTGATTCGCATACTCATCTGGCCATTCACCTGTGATCCATATTATTTTGTACATATCCATATTACATCTACGCCAATCTCGTCCATTGCTTTTAGAGTCTCCGTTGGTATGCCATCAATTCCTGGGGACTTTTTGTTTGTTTTTGTTTTTCCCTGTAAAGGAATTAACATATGCCAATCGTGTTGATTACCAGCGACAAACATTAAAAGGTACTGAAACAGAAAGATTTTTATTATTTGTTTCACGAGGCTGTCATCAACTAGCAAACTAGAGGCTGTTGTCTTTTTCCAATATTTTTCGTAGTTAATTATTTTTTTTATTGCCTGCAGAATGCTATTTTTTATTTTTTCTTCAATTTAAAAGGTTTTTTTGAACAAACTAGCAACCCTTACTAAATTCATGTCATCTACGAGATATGTGACTGTCAAAATTCCGTCACTAACGAGTTCCTCGCTTTACACTTCGCCGAAATATAGAATGTTCTGAGTCACTCAAGACTCAGTCTCGCCAGAACGATACTTTCATAATTTTGAGGAAATTGTGTATCCTCACTCATTATAACTAAAACTTGGAGTATGGATTCTTTCAAATTTAAGACAAGTTTTTCATTTTCAGTAAACAAAATTTAATTTTTAAGATCTATTATAAATTTTTTCTACATAATATATATCCCAAAAATGCATTTATCTTTAATATCAGCTACAAGAAATAAGTGTTTTATTAAGATGTTACCAATCTGCATAATGATCGTTATCTCTCTATTATTTGGAATAATGTGACCTGACTCTATTTTGTTTTAAGATCTCTCTAAGTTTGTTTTAGTTGACTGTAGGTTTTCATTTATAAATCGGTTCCAATAAAGTATCTGGTTACAACAGCATCAATATTTGCACAGATGACAAATGGCGATGGATGAAAAACGAGATGTTGGGTTCTGAGAGACCGAATTCCAAACAAAGAAATACGTCGTAGAACAAAAACAACAAATGCCATCAAAAAAATCGCGTCGTTAAAATGGAATTGGGTAGAACAAGTCGCCTGATTATCAGACAACCGATGGACAAAACGTATTTTAGAGTGAAGACCAAGGCAAGAAGCAATACGGAGCAGAAGACGCTCACCAACTAGATGGACTGACGACCTAAAGCGTGTTAGTAATAACTTAATGCAAGCCGCACAAGACAGAGACAGGTGGAAAGAGCTGAGGGAGATGTCCAACGTCCAGCAGTGAATGCATACAGGTCGATGATGATGATGATGACATCACCATTTTCTGTAGCTTGGTTTGGCGTACAAACTTTAAAGGAGTGACTAGAAGTATTATTGATGTGTTGATTTATTTCTAGGTTCCGTCCAGCTGGTATGTTGTTGTATTTTGGTATGACCGCTGATTAAGGATTTTTCAATTTTGTAATTTTAAGTTGTAGACATATTGGTGTTTATAACTGCATAAGAAACGATTGTTGCATTTGTTGTAATTCGTATTGTATATGTTGCTTTAGATCGTTCAAATATCGTTCAAATATATTTGAAACTGCAGGAGGTATCCACTTTGCTAGTAGGGTTTTGGTTTGTAGTAACATTTGGAATCATATAATTAGCTTGGTAACCGCCACCACTGGTCCCTTGCATTATATGGCCTTTATTAATTTATTTTACTACAACGGAAAAAGATCATAATTTTTGTTTTAATATTGGTTAATTTATTTAAATAGTTTTGTCTATTTTTATCACTTACACAGAAGTTTGTGTTCAAATTTATGATAGTATAATAGTATAATGTACCGTCTTTAGCCTGACAAAATCTGCAATTAGCACTTTCTATCAATCCGATTTTATTCAAATGACCCTTAAGGCGATAGTGCTCTTTTAAGAGACCTACGATAAATTACCAGCTCAACCATTATAGATTTAGTAAAGAAGGCTGGGTTGAAAGAACAACTAATTTGGTGATGGACCACAACAGATAACAGACTCTTAAGTCGAGTTAAAGAGTATTAAAGCACCCACTTATATTAAACCTAACCTTTACGAAGTATTGTATTACCCTATTACCTTTGACAATCGGGGCGACAGCATCTTCAAAGCACGAATTTCTTCTGGTAGATTTACTCGAATAGTCTCTTAGCTTATTTGATATTACCTATAAGATTACGTATTAATATAATTTGTGTCGTTTTAGATCAAAAATACTTACAGTAGATACGAAATCGTCAAATATTTTCAAAGATTTGTCAAACTCTCTGCTTATCGGATATAATTTCCAAGTAAATGTCAATTGATGCCAGAAATGAAGGGTCCTTAGACTTGTAATTTCCATTAATCTAAAATTTAAAATATATTAGTCCACTTAACCTTTTGATTCATATACAAATATCGTCCTTCAACAAATAACTGACTGTATTACTTTGGCATGTAAGAACTAGACTAGAATTCAGCATGCGAAGAAGCTATTCGCAAATTTAAATCTGCTCTCAACAAAATGCGCCCTATTAATACTCCTGCCAATCTTATAATTCACAAAAAACTCAAAGCCAAAGCCAAATACATCATAAAACAAAGCAAAAAAATAAAACATATACAGGGTCACTAATTTAAAAGGGTTCCTAAACTTATTATAGATGACACAGTTATCTGTGATAGCTAGACTTCGGCAAATATGCATATTGCATATTTTGCATATTGTGCATATTTTATGCAAATATTTCATATTTTGGCATATTCGTATAAAAGTTTGCATAAAGTGCATAAAAGTTCAGATTTTTATACTGTATTTGAAAATTTTTAAACATACCAATTTATTTCAATTCTTGTATAAAATTTTGTAGTCATTTTAATCAAGAAATTATCTAAGTACGTAATCTCTACAGGTACAAAACATTTAAAATTTCAAAGAAGATCAATTTAAGTAGCCCTCAACATTCTTAGAAAGTCTCGGTCACTGAGGCATTCAGTTATTGGATAATCGCTAAGGGTTCGCTCATTTGCATTTTATGATCTAATCCCCAAATCTATCTACAATTTATTGTACTTTAACAGCAGGTAAACGGCTAATAGTTTTGTTCCTAATTTAGGGATTTTCCAAAATCTCCCAGTTTATTGAATTAGGTACCTAAACATTTCTAATTTGATGCTCAGATTTGTAAATCATTTTTGTTTTGATATTCAAAGCGTAAACACTCGTTGTGCGTAATAAAAAGGAAGATTGTGATTTTATAATGCCTAAAACAACCAGTGCTTCAACTTGGATTAAACCTTATAAAGAGCTGTCTATGGATATGGGGAAAATCTACTGTTCAGTCTGTGGCAAAATTGTAAGTATCTAATATTTTCTATTAAATATCTAATATTTCATACATACAGGGTGTTTCCAAATGACACTTACAACGTTTGACTTTAGATACTTCTCGAAAAATTGAACAAAACGATATAGTTAATGAGGGGTCAAACTTATTTACTTTTCGAGATACGGGGTGTTAAAATTAAAAAAAATTAAATTCTTTTAGTTAATAACAACAATAACTTTAAAACCAATAAACGTATTTACTTGACATTTAGTACTCGTAGGTTGTTTTTAAATGAAAAATAGCTTCCTTTAGTGAGAAAAAATTGTCCATGGTACAATACAATGGTGTGTATTTAGAAAAATTTTTCACCGTTACTTTTTTTATGAAGTCAGCTATTCTAAAACACAATTATTTTTATTGTAATTGAATTAACAAAAAAAAAAACTTTTGTTGAATTTTAAAATAAGTTATATGATGTACTAATGGTTAGTAACAAAAACTAATTTGTGGATTAATACTGCATTTAAAACACTAAGCGAGTGTTTTTTTTTCCAAACTAGTTATTTGATTAACCAAAAACACCTTGTATATTTTTATATTTTAAAGGTTGGGTTAAAATAAAGGTTTTTATTTTTATTTATAGATAGCATGTGAGAAGAAATTTCAGATAGAGCAACATCTGAGAACTGCTTCACACAGTGCAAAAAAAGGAAAAATAGGAGGAAAACATCAAACTTGAATGGCTAAATGTTTCCAATCTACTTCAAAAAAATTAGATGAGCAAGAAACTTTTAATGAAGACTTGTGTCGCGCATTAGTGTCTGCAAACATACCGCTTTCAAAATTAGCAAATGTAAATTTTAGTTCGTTTCTAAAAAAATATTGCAAACTTAATGTTCCAAGTGATCGGTCTCTAAGAAAAAATAATGTGAACGGGCTATACTCGCCGGTGTTAATTAATATTAAGGAAAAAATTGCAGATAATTATTTTTACATATCTGTAGACGAAACCACTGATTCCTCAGGAAAGTATATTGCTCATTTATTGATTGGTGTTCTTAAAGAAGATACCTTACCAAAATCTCATCTTATTTCATGCCAGCAACTTGAGAAAACAAATGCTTTAACAATTTCGCGTTTTATACAAGAAACATAAGCAACTTTTTTCTTCCGACAACTATTCCTTCTAATAAATTACTGCTTATTTTATCGGATGCTGCTCCTTATATGGTGAAAGCAGGACAAAATTTAAAAATATTTTTCCCAGATTTAATACATGTTACTTGTGTAGCGCATGGATTAAACAGAGATGCAGAGGAAATACGAAAAAAGTTTCCTCTTGTAAATACCATGATATCCAGTGTCAAAAAAGTATTTCTTAAATCTCCTATAAGAATTCAACTTTATAAAGAAATGCTACCTAACATTCCTCTTCCACCACAACCTATTTTAACGCGATGGGGAACATGGTTAGAAGCAGCAATTTTTATGCAGATCATTTTGTTAAAATAAAGAACATAATTGATACGTTAACAGATGAAAGTTCTCAATCTCTTTTGGATTCTAAACAAACTTTTCAGAGTAACTTGCTTCAACAAGAACTTTCATTTATAAAATCAAATTTTAGTTTTGTTCAAAAAACAATTACTCAGTTAGAATCACCAAAACTGTCATTGTTCGAAAGTACATCATTAATAAAAGAATTTGCGTCATGTTGTCGGAACGTTAGAGGTAATATTGGAAAAGATATTTAAAAAAAAAATTGAAGCTACTATGGAAAAAAATAAAGGTTACCATATTATTTCTGAAGTAGTCAGTGTACTAGCAGGAAATATTTCGGAAACAATTAATTTGTAGCGTTTTATATTTAATGTCTAAATAATAATATAAATTCGATTCTATATAGTACGCCCCTGGTACGCTAGAAATGTGTTGTCTGTAGAGATTTTTAAATACGCAATAATTCTTCAATAAATAAAAACGTATTTGCTAAAGAGAACAATTTATGGCTTTTTAACTTCAACGTTCCCAGAAAAATATTGCAACATTGGTATTATTTTTTCTAAAGCGCAGTAACGCCGGATGTTTTGAACGAATTTGAGTAAAGAATTTGTTGATTTGACAAGATGGCAATGGTTTTGTGCGGGGAAAAGAGGGTTACTATCCGGAGATTGAGATCGAGAGGGTCAGCGAAGTCAGTGATGAATAATTGCTCGCAGCGAAAGGTCGTTTTAATGGTGATGTGGTAAACCGGCATTCATTCGCCAAAATGGTGGAATTTTCATTCTAAGTAATATGTCGTTTCTGAAAGAGTGACCAGTAACCACTATTTTTATTTTGGCTGAAGATTTATGATGTTTGAGCAGTGAGCAAGTTTAGTTCCTGCTTTGTTTTTCGTTTTTTGAGAAATCCAGTTCCTTTCCGAGATGCCCTTTTCACCTCATGTAGAATAATATTGGAGCAGTTTTGATTTGGATGTGCCAGTTTCAGCTTCCAATAAAGCTTTCTGTTGATGTGCAGTTGGATACCCCGCAGAAGTTAGCCAGTTGTTCAAAAGTTTATGTTAACATGTGTGAACTGAGGTAACATTTACGTTATTAATTTTTAAAGTAAAAATAGACATTTTCTTTTAAAAAGACAAAATTTGCTTTCTTTTATAAATTATTTAAAAAAAAAATATTTGTAATTATATTATGTTAGGGCCTGGTTTAAACTGTCATGTCATAATTTTTATCCTGTTTTAAAAATGTTTGTTTTGACGTATGACAGTTTGATTTTTAATCTATTTTGATTTGTAGTAAAGATTAAATTTTATTCTTTATAAAAGGATATCCATAAAATTTGGCCACATTATCTACTAGGAACCATTTCAGAGAATTTTGTAACCTTTTGTAAACAGATATGTAAGTTCTTTTTATTTGTATTGGACAGCTATTTATATATAATATGCCTTTGTTGCTGTAAGTTGTATTGCTTTATAAGCTGTATTTTTGAAAACTGTTTGAGACAATAATAAATGTTTAATTTGTTTCTCTTATCTATTTTGAGTTTTATTTGAAAAAGATATTTTTTTTTTATAATTTTGATGTTATACAATTATTTCCTTAGTTACAACTAGTGGTTGTAATAGGTATAATTGGGCACCTCAAGTGGCGCCCTATATTAAATTTCTTGAGGTGTTTCCGTTTATATTCATTCTGTTTGTCCAATAGATTCGTATAAGTACCTTTTATTTCCTTTTTTTGTAGTTGCCCCAATCCAAACCCCAATATCTTCAACTTATCCACGACCCAGCTCTCCAACAACCAACTGAGTGTCCGTATGCATTTGTTTCGATTATTTTGTTTGCCCAATCTTGTCCCCCATATTCTTACCCTGTGGTAAGCAAAATAGTTGTTACAATTTTGGCGCCCCAACGTGGGGCCAAGTGCCCAAGGTCTTTGTCCCTTTTCCAGAACCCACATATCTTTTTCAGTTCGTCCCTAGTTTTCAGTCATTTATATAAAACCCTGTCTTTCGAGTAGTGCCCCGGTGTCCCACAAACAGTTTGTTTATGTATTTGTATCAACATATGTATTGTTGTTTTGTCTATGTATTGTTCTTGTATTAACATATGTATTATTGTATATCAACAGATGTATTTGTTGTATATTGACATATGTAATGTTGTTTTTTTTTATTTTGTGTACTGTAGAAATTTTTCTATATGTATTTTATGTGTATTGGTAAATGAAAGCAAATATTTTGAGATTGAATATTGAATTTTAAGTTATTTACAGTAACAAATTAAGTGTACCGTTATTGTGCCATTTATTTTTGATTGATTTGACATTTCTTACAGAAAAATCGGTTTTGTAATTTTGTTTTGTCTGGTCATTTTGAGTAAATGTGTTTATTGTTTGAGTGACTTTTCTTTGAGCTGATGAGTATAGTTCGTTTTGTCTTTTGTCCTAAGCCATTTCATTGTTTCCTCTAGGCCCTCTTTGACGGCGTTTGTGTTATGCCACGGGCTAGTAGGAGATTGTGAATGTGAAGAG